AGTTGAGCTGCGCAAATCCTATTAGCATCAACATGGAGCCACACGGCTTAAATCCATGTGTTTTGCACAAGGATCGAGTCCCCGAGGGGCCAGCTTAACCCGACATGCCACAGGGAGCAAGGGAAACATCGCGGCGCAGGGGGAGAATCCTTGTTAGATGCTCAAAGCACTCCTGCATTCTCCGCGATTCTCCATAGAGCTTCCGCAGCATTGCAGGGGGGTGGAGGTGGGGAGAGACCTCCAGAGATCATCCGGTCCAAGCTCAATACTGGTCAGCGGGAGCAGGTTGCTCATGACCATGTCTGGACGGTGTTTGAACATCTCAACGGCCTCCTCAAGCAACCTGGTCTGGCACCCCCTAATGAGAAGTTTTGCAATGAGTTTTTCCTTATGTCCGGAGGGATCTTCCCGCACTTTGGCATGTGCCCGTTGCTTCTCATCCTGTCCCTGGGCACCTTCTTCACACCTTCCCCTTGGGTACTCATACACCTCGATAAGATCCATATCAGCCTCCTCTTCCCGGGGCTGGAGAGTCCTGGCTCTCTGAGCCTTTCCTCACATGAGAGATGCTCCAGATGTTCAGCATCTCAGGAGCCCTTTGCTGGACTCGTTCCAGCAGCTCCACATCCCTCTTGTGCTGTGGAGCCCAGCACAGGGCACAGAACCCCCGAGGTGGCCTCACCAGGGCTGATCAGAGGGGAAGGACACCCAGGACACCATTCGTCTCCTTTGCCACCAGGGCACGTTGCTGGCGCATGGTCAATTCATCGCCCACTTGTTTTGAATGAAAATTGTCGTTATGTCAGAGCACGCAAGATGAGCAAAATGCTTTGCCTTGGGTGAGCTAAACGCAGACATTAAAACACAGGAAATTCCATCTCCAAATGAGGAAGAACTTCTTTACTGTGAGGGTGACAGAGCCCTGGAAAAGGCTGCCCAGAGAGGCTGTGGAGGCTCCTTCTCTGGAGATCTTCAAACCCACCTGGATGCCACCCTGTGCCACGTGCTCTGGGTGTCCCTGCTTGAGCAGGGAGTTGGACTGGATGATCCCTAGAGGTCCCTTCCAGCCTCAACAATTCTGTGATTCTGTGATTAGGGCAATTTTCTTAACTGTTTGGGGGAAAATTGTGCCAAATACCATTTGAGATGGACACGCTGCCTACGAGCTTGACAAAACAAAATCTACCTGTTCGTATCACGGAAAGCACATGGGGATGTGCTGCGTTCGAACAAGGCGGGTTGTTAGCCCTGTTTGGACAGCACTTACATATCAAAAGCCGTCCCTTCTGCTCTTGCTACGCGTGATTCCCTTCGGGGTTACCCTGGATGTTTGAGCTGGGATCTGCCTAATCCCGTCAAGCTCGGACTGCTTCTCGCGCCAGCCCGGGGAACAAAGTCATAATTCTCTCTCTTGCAAGCTCGCCGGCCGTTGCTATGGGAATGCTCGTGCTGTCAGGGATTCAGCGGAACAGATTTTCCTGGAA